AAAAAAAAAAAAGAGAGAGAGAGAAGACTCAAATAAATAAAATCAGGAATGAAAAAGGAGACATAACAACTGAGAGCTCAGAAATACAAAGACTCATTAGAGACAGCTATTATGAACAATTATATACCAACAAATTAGAAAACTTAGAAAACATGGATAAATGCCTGGACACACACAACCTACCAAGATTGAACCATGAATAAATTAAAAACCTCAACAAACCAATAACAAGTAATGAGATTGAGGCTGTAATAAAAATTCTCCTATCAAAGAAAAGCCCAGGACCTGATGGATTCACTGCTGAATTCTACCAAATATTTTAAAAAGAACTAATACCAATCCTACTGAAACTCTTTTAAAAAAATGGAAAAAGAGGAAATACTTTCAAACTCATTCTACAAGGTCAGCATTACCTGATACTAAAACTAGAGAAGGATACAACAACAACAACAACAAAATACAGGCCAGTATCACTGAAGAACACAGGTATAAAAATCCTCAACAAAATACTTGCAAACGAAATGCAACAACACATTAAATAGATCATTCACCATTATCAGTAAAGATTCACTTCACAGGTACAAGGATGGCTCAATATATGCAAATCAATAAATGTGATATACCACATTAATAGAATCAAGAACAAAAAACATATGATTATTTCAATAGATGCTGAAAAAGAATATGATAAAATTCAACATCCCATTGTGACAAAAATCCTCATGAGGCCAGTCATGGTGGCTCACGTCGATAATCACAGCACTTTGGGAGGCCAAGATCACTTGACATCAGGAGTTTGAGACCAGGCTGGCCAACATGGTGAAACCCTGTCTCTATTAAAAATACAAAACTTAACTGGGCATGATGGCAGATACCTGTAATCCCAGCTACTTGGGAGGCTGAGGCAGGAGAATTGCTTGAATCCAGGAGGCAGAGGTTACAGTGAGCTGAGATGGTGCCACTGCACTCCAGTCTGGGTGACAGAGTGAAACTCTGTCTCAAAAAAAAAAAAAATCCTCATGAAAATAGATATAGAAGGAACGTACCTCAAAATAATAATGGCCATCTATGACAAATTCATGGCTAACATTGTACTGAAATGGAGAAAAATTGAAGGCCCTTCCTCTAAAGACTGGAACACAACAAGGATGCCCACTTTTACCACTATTATTCAGCATGATACTGGAAGTCCCAGCCAGAGCAATTAGGCAATAAAAAGAAATAAAGGACATCTAAATTGGAAAGGAAGAAGTCAAATTAGCCTTGTTCAAACCCAACATGATCTTATGGCTAGAAAAACTTAAACACTCCACCAAAAAAAAACTGTTAGAACTGACAAACAAATTCCGTAAAGTTGAAGAATACAAAACCAACATATATAAATCAACAGCATTCATATGTGCCAACAGCCAACAATCTGAAAAAGAAATCAAGAAAGCAATGCCATTTATAACTACAAAAAAATATAAAATACCTGGGAATCAATCTAAGCAAGGAAGTGAAAAATCTATACAAGAAGAACTACAAAACTCTGATGAAAGAAATAGAAGAGGACACAAAAAAAGAAAAGGTATTCCATGTTCATGGATTAGAAGACAAAATATTGTTAAAATGGCAATACTACTCAGAGTGATGTACAGATTCAATGCAATCTCTATCAAAATACCAATGACATTCTTCACAGAAAATAGAAAAAAAAAACCATACAATTTATATGGAACCACAAAAGACTCAAATATCCAAAGTCACCCTGAGCAAGAACAATGCTAGAGGCATCACATTATTGGGCTTCAAAGTTTATTATAAAGCTACTGTAACCAAAACAGCATGGTACTGGCATAAAAACAGGCACATGGACTAATGGAACAAAACAGAGAACCCAGATATAAATCTATACATTTACCACCAATCTTTGACAAAGATGCCAAGAATTTACAATGGGGAGAAGACAGTCTTTTCCATAGATGGTGCTGGGAAAAGTGGGTAACTATATGCATGAAAATGAAAATAGACCTATATCTCTCACTATACACAAAAATCAAATCAAAATGGATTAAAAACTTGAATCGAAAACCTGAAAATATAAAACGACTAGAAGAAAATATTAGAGAAATGTTCCAGGACATTGATCTGGACAAAAATTTCTTTCGGAAGAATTTAAAAGCACAGGC